CCTCCCTAGCCCAAGTTCCACCCCTGAACCTACCCTATATAAGTTGTTGTCACCCTCAATAAATTGGCATTGCTTCACGAGACCTCTGTCTGTGTCTGGACCCTCTTTGCAGTGCTCGACCCCATTCCCTTTCCCTCGGGTCGTGGCAGTTAGTGTTAGTGCTAGGCTATCAAGGGAGGGGTGGGCAACTTCTGCTGGGAATAAAAAGAGGTTCCAGAGAGCCATCAGCTTGGAAATCCCCTTCAGAGCAGGATCATCCAGGACTGAGAGTTGCCCAGAGAAGGAGATGGAATTATCATGCCTAGAAGGAGAATTGCAGCATCATGCATTGTCACACCACAGTCATCAAAGTATTGTGTTCCCTGAGCTTCATGGGAGCATCCATTTCACACACAAGCATTCGAGATTGAAAATCATGCCCACCTGATCTTTATTGCTAACAGCTCCTGTCCAGGTCACCCTTAGTCTTTGTGTCTTGGCTCTACTTCAGCCAGCACAGCTGTGAGTGGGTGTATTGTTGGACATAAGTGGGAAACTCTGCCATTTGGGCATAGGGACTCAATCCCATTCTCAAGTCCAGCTAACTTTACAAGGCTTTGATCATCCCTGCAACTTTTTGGTTGCAAATTCAGTTATGGATGTGTAAAAAGAACTTCTTGTTCACACTTTGGTGACTGACTACTGCTTCAAGTTCTATTAAAAATCACTACAGAAAGAAAACTAAATCCTTTAGGAAAACTGGGTTCTTTCTACCCTGGATTATTCCAACACAGTCTAACCTATAGGGCTGAGGGAAGATGATGGATCTAAGGGTGAAAAATGGTGGCTGGAAAAACTTTAGGAAGTCATTCTTTGATTTTCACTAGATGCAGAAGCAACACTAATTCTAGGCTGCCTCTGTGTTGTTAGCAGCTTGTTTCTGGTAGTTCTACTTTGTAATCTTTGATTCACACATCACTGTGTCCAAATAAAAATAATGACTGCTACATGGGCAGTAGTTCTGAACAGTGAAACTTACACTTACAGATACATGTTGCTTCAAGTTTAGCATTTCCAGTCTTGATGCATTTTTCTTGCTATTTTTCCAGTCTTGAGCATTGAAAAAAACACTAAAGTAAAAATTTACTAGAGAGGTCATCAGCGATTCCCGAGGAAATTCAGATCTGTCTAACAGCAAACAGGGCAAAACAAGTATATTTAAAACTATAGTCTCTGTTAAGTTTTATTTTAGTATGGATCTGATCTAGTAGGTCTGCAATCAGCTGAGGTTGGTTTGCTCTACATAAATAGAAAAGCGTTGACCTTGATGTACATAGCTCTATACCAGTCATGGCTCTCTTAAGACCAAGGATCACTACATTCTAAAACATATATACTTTTAAATCTTTTCTTGCGATCTCATTCACAGGCAGTGGTGAATGTGCTTTCAAGCATTAATAAAAGAAGAGAGGGTACTTTCAGCAGTGGAATGGAATATTAAAAACATTATACAAAATCCTACCTAGAAAGTGGTATCCAACTCAAATTATTTGCACTCACAAAAGACCTGATAAAATCAGGAAAGGTGCAGAAAATGATTATACTCATCAGAGGTCTGAGAGGAAAATCGCACAAAGAAACAATTGTGTAATAAATAGCATGAGGCTATCTTCTGATTCCATCCTGATAATTTCTGGTCTTTTAACTTTTACTTTGATGTTCCAGCCTACTTTCCTATAGAGACAAAGCAGATATGCTTACTTTGGTCTGTCAGTTCCCTGAAAACTGTTGCTATGTCGATTTTAATTGTCCAAGGCATTAATATTAGGTAATTGAAAATTTTGATATTTTTCTCTAATATCAGTTAGAGAAAAAACTTCAACAGATCTTGAGAAAATGAATAGCTTTGTGGAGAAGAGAAATTCACATGTTGTCTACGCAAAAACTTCAGGATAAGGTTAGCACTGATCATCCAGGACAGGTACCTCTTGAAGCCAGCAGTGACAGGTTTGTCATGCTTCACAGCTGGCAGTTAGAAGGTATTACTTAGCTGAGGATATTATTTAATGGTGGAAAGCAGAAGACCAGGAGTGGGACCTGAAGGCACTGAAACATCTACCTAGATCTCAGGGAATATGGGATGAGAAATATGGGAATATGGGAAATGAATTTTACTGCTCAAAAAAAGTCACCTCTTTCTTGAAGGTCCCAGGGAAGAAGAACAATCTTTCAAATTCCTAGTTTCCACATATTTGGAAATCACAGTTTGCCTTTAATCTTTCTTTTTTTTCTTTTTTTTCCCCCCTCAGTTTTACACTGTCCTGCCAGGGAATTCTCCCATAAATCTTTTATTCTCTATCTGAGACCTTTATTTTAAGTCTCCCTAGGAACGTAATAAAATTCTGAACTGTATTGAAGTTTCTAGCACTGCATTACTG